TCAGCAAACAAGAGTTTTCATTGTATCTAATGGTATGTGATTTCTCATACCTTTTAACTCTCCCATGGTGAATCTAGGGACAACCTCTAGAGACAGCAGCAAGAGTTTTTGAAATGCAGGTGATAAAGATGCTGAAGTCTGCAGATGTAAATGGTTTTGAATAAAGGAAACTGAGAACAAAAACAGTATTAGATGCAGATACTTCTGAAGTTTTACAATTCTTATGCTTTGTGGGGGAGAAGAAGGCAGAGAGAAAGTTTATGTTACACAAAATCAGAAGAAAGCTTTAGGCTTTTGATTTAAAAAAGTAAACCTTATTATTATTGTGTAGTTAAGAGCTGAAAATAATAGCTTGCAAGAAGCGTTTTTCCCCTATAGAATAAGAAAAACCTGGGGAAAAAAAAAAAAAAAAAAAAAAACTAAACTTAGAGCCCCTCTGCAACCAAAATCTGAAGATTTTAATTCATTACTAAGACTAAGTGGAAAGCAGGTTTGCACTAAACAGAAAAGTGAATCATTTTACATTTCTGTGTATGACAGCAATTGCAAGAAGCAAAAAACATGGGGACAGAAAGACAACGAAGGAGAGTGTGCAAGTGTAAGCACACGTACATGTACATGTATGTACACGTGTGTGTATGTTTGCAGAATGGATTAGGAATATATAAAAAATGCAATACCCAGTTGACCCTGCTGCTGTCATCTTGATAGATAAGGTAGCTGGACAGGAGTTTTGAGATGTTATGTGAAAATATTTCCTCTGGAAACATTTCAGCTTTCTTACTGAATGCCTTTCCATCCACAAATACCTCATTTTCCATTTCAGTGAGAAGGAATTTTTTTGCTTATTTTCTTGGAAAGCACTGAAATGTACTTAGGCACGCACTGTTTATTTAAGACTTAGAACCTGAAGAAATAATTACTATCTCATTCAGTAGCATTACCACTACTACTGTTACTACCACGTTTCTGCTAAACATGTTTTGGTCAAACGTGATGCAGATCTAAGTTTGCTTTTTTAAAATCATAAAGATGGCAGAAACAATTTCATGATATTCTTGCTATGGCTGTAGAGGTGAAACAACAACAACAAAAAGACAAAAACAAAAATAAGAACTTAAGGAAGAAGAGCCCACAGAAATTCAGATTTTGCTGCACTGTGTTGACATGTAAGAAAGTCTAATTGAAGTAAACTGGCAGTACTGGGGTGGATACCATTTAACATGTCCTGAACGATGTCCATCACTGTCCCAAATGATGGGCAATATCAGCAAGCTCATTCCTACAGCCAAGTTAAGGTGAGGCTTCAGTGTGCTGAAAGGTATGGTTGCCACTCACATGAAGCTCCACTAGCAGGAGAACTGAGCTGATTTACAAAGCTCAAAAGCAAATCCAAAGTCCTCCTCCAGAGATTGGGTAGTCCTATGATGTAGCCAGGCAGAGAGACAGCTCTGCATAAAAGGCCTTGAGGCTTTGGTCAATAGCAAACAGCCCACGAACCAGCAGTGTATGCCTTCAGCAATGGAAGCTGATCTCATGTAGGGCGGCTTTAGCACAAGTGTAGCCAGCAGGTTGAGGAATGTGATTATTCCCCTCTACACAGCACTGGAGAGGCTGCACCTGAAGTATTGTGCTCAGTTTAAGGCCACCCTGTCCAAGAGAGACATAGATGAGCTGGACTGAGTTCAGTGGAGGGCCATTGAGGTGGCTGGCAGCTAAAGCAAACAGCACATGAAGAAAGGGAGCAGAAGTTGCTTTGTTTGCAGAGAAAGCCAAGGGGAGGTCTAACTGCCCTCCACTGCTGAAACAGGGGTTATAGAGAAAGGAAACCAAACCCTTCTCAGAGGCCAGGAGTGAAAAGACAGAAACAACTTACATCCAGAGAAATTTGGGCTGGATATAAAAACATTTTTCTTTACAGCAAAAGTTCTGAAGTCTTGCAGCACATACCAAGAAAGCTTGTGGAAACTCCATCATTGGAGATTTTAAAAGCTTGACAGGTAAGTGCCCTGAGCAACCCTGATCTGACTTTGAAATCACTTCTGCTTTATAGCACAAGGATGGACTAGTTGACCTCCAAAAGTCCCATCTGATATAACCTTTCTATGTTACTATGCTTCTTTGAAATGATTTATTCACATGGGAAATTTAACTGTCTGGGATAAAAGAAAAGCCAAAGTTTACAAAATCCTATAAAACTGAGCAGAACTAATTAGAAAACAGTTTCTATACCACCACTCCAAACTCCTGATTTACATCCCTATAGCTAATTCTGCTAAGGTAAGCACTCCAAAGGACTGGTAAAAAAAGATCAAGGTCCAGAAAGGAAGTTTAATGCAATGGCATGGAGTGTGGCTAAGAGCAGGTACTGGAAGGCAGGATATATCTACCTTCTCTTCCCTGCCAGTCTCTGGAAATTGATTAAATGCGATGTCCAAATGCAGGTTTGCATCCTGGTGGTTCGTCTTGGAGCATGGAAAATTTGAGCCCCAATTCCCACCTAGTCTTTGAAATACAGAGAGGAGCTGCCTGTAGGCTCTGTGTGCTGCAGTGTGGGGATCTGAGCTCTGAGAAGAGAGGCACCTTTGGCAGAAGATGCAGCCACTTGTGAGCAGAGCTGTGCCTTATGTCTGCAGTCCTTGAGAGCAGAGAAGTGGATAGAGAGCACTCATACCCCTCTCTTTTCCCAGGGTCTGCAGCCTGCCACCACCTGAAAGTGAACACAGACAGCCTTTCTTTCAGAAATGTTTAGGCAAGGCAGAGGATCCTTATCTTGTTGTTTCTTGATTCACTAGCATAGAGGTTAGACAGATCTTTGTGGAAGTAGAATATGCTGCCTCAAAAGCAGCACGCTCTCTTCCACCCCAAAGTCTGAACTGCATCTCATGTCTTAGGACATGCTCTGACAGCCAGCCTACATCTTTTGAGGGAGGGAAAAGGAAAAATTCCCAACTCTGCTCTGAAAGCTCTTCTACTGCTGAGAAAACAAAGGTTTTTTTTTTTTTTTTGTTTGTTTGTTTGTTTGTTTGTTTTGTTTATTTGTTTTTTTGAAAGGGAGAAGAATGGATGGAGGGAAGGAGAGAGGAAGGGAAAGACGGAGGGAAAGAGAGAGGGAGGAAATTTTGGTTTGGTCTTAAAAGGCTTGTGCTCTGCAAACAGACATAACACGCTTCTAGTAAAGTCTGGCTCTGTGGTTCTCACCAGTTTCTGACTGGGTAATTACTAATGCAAATACACACACACACACGCCAGAGAGTGAAGTGATGGGAGCAGCAATAAAAGTGACCTGGCTATAATGAGAAAAATGTTGACAGAAAATGTCTATTAAAACACTGATAGAGGAAAATGCCTTCCAGCCTGGGAACTAGGCCTGGGAACCAGGAACATCCTTGAAAGGCACAGCGGGCCTTTTTGAAGTGCAGCTGAGTACCTAAGAACCAGAGACATTCTGAAGATGCCAACACTGAGGGCAAAAACAAGGAATTGTAGCAGCAAATTATCTCCTGAAAGAAAAAATATAGTCTGGAAAAGTAAAATTTTGTCCAGGAGAATAAGAAATATCATCATCTGTTGGTTGCTTCTCTCTCTCTCTCTCTTTCTCTCTTTCTCTCTCTCTCTCTCTCTCTCTCTCTGAGAACTTCTCATGCATCAAGCTTTCTTTCCTTCAGCATCTCCTAAACAAACTGAATCTTCACAGAGGATGCCTGGCTGACTCTGAACTCTGTGATGTGGATGAACTTCCAAGTGAGATTGTGTTTGCTATTTTACTGGGCCCACTTCTGGGGGTTGGTCTCTTCTGAGACCATTTTCTGTTATTAACCCATTTCTGAGGCTAGTTTTCTTAATTTAGACCCTTTTTTGGTTGTTTGGCCCCCAGTTCTGGTTTCATGACCTTTGTATCAGTAATTTTATGAAACATATATAATTTTAATATGTACATAGCATGTCCTAAGTATAGTCTTGAAAAGTTTAAACTATCATAAGTATAGTCATTCTTATAGTATTGAGGAGTTTGTAATCCATAACAAGTATATTCACTGCCATACTATTGATAAATTTGTTGAATCTGTAACGCTTATCTATTATTGCTGCTATATTACTGATTTTTACTATATCTAATAGCTTTCCTACTATCTTTAATTGCTGCTACTAATAATTAGTTCTATTCCCTCAATATTTACTACATAAATATATACTTGCTCCCTGGCAGTATAGCTTCTTATCTACATACGTATATTCACCTTATTGATCACAATATGATGGTGGTGATTGCTGGACACCTGTAATAAACAGAAATCTTTATAAAACAAAGTCTCTATGTCTATGTGTGTTAAGATCCAATGCACCCTCGCCTTCTGTACTTTCACATGGGGCAAGAGGAGATCCTTCATTTCACAGGTACTGCCAAACTTTTTCTTTAGGAACGCTTCATCAGGTGGATTCCCCGTGCAAGGCATGAGGGCAGCTGCATCTCTGATTGACCATATCAGCAGTGACTGTGCTACAGAAAATAGGTTGGGAATAATAGCTCCTGATACTCCTTACTAAATAAGTGCTTGAGTGTTTTTGTGCTGGTAAGCCACTGCCTTTGTTACTCAGCAGTTCAGTGTTATGTGGTTGTCCTCTTTGTTCGCAGTGGCAGCATACACCAGAGTTACCTCTGTCTCTTGAAATGGGAGGTTTAGCTGTGGAAGTCTCTAGATAACTAGCTCCAGTGTATTTTTATTATTTTTTTTTTTGTGTGTGTGTGTTGACTAAACTGTATTCTGATTCCACTTTATCTACTGGACAGCATATTTACTTGTGTAGCAAACCGTACAGAGAAATATTGTCTCTGTTACAGGACATTTCATCTACTAATGCCCTGGGACCTCAATAATAAATTATTTCAGGCTTGTGATGTCAAATATACACTTCCTTTGACTACACAAATAATTCTGTGTAAACTGATTTGTCCCTTTGCAATGGCCCTCTACAATGTTACCGAATATTCTGCATGCTTGCTAGAAAATCAGGAGTATTTATTAATCCAAGAAAACTCAGAATCCAAACTGTTGACAATGAATGTACATATGGTGGGTGTCTCTTCCAAAAGAAGATGGTCCAAGATGGTTGCTTAAGAGATGGGAGTGAAATCCATGCAGCCTTAAATTTCCATTTCCATGAAAGCACATCCTTAGTTCCAGACTTCTGTCAAATCTGCTTATGTTCTTCAAAACATGATGTACCACATCTTTTCCTTCACAGAGGTGAAATCCTGAGCCTATCAAATGAGGCAGAATGTGAATTAAGATAAGCGAGGATATATATTTTTAAAACACACTTTGCCAATGGGCTTCAAGCTCTTTCTTGTCCCTGTTACTGTGGCAGCTTCAATCAACCTGGAAGTTCATTATTTCTTTTTCAATTTATAAAAGCTGCACTCACATTATAAAGCAGAAGATAATCCTTGTGAGTTAAGATAAATCCATAGACAGAGCTCACTTTAGTTCTAATTACAATCTGCAAGTTTATTATGGAAAAATGTAAGTTGTATCATTTAATCTTTTATATTGCCAGCACTGAGCATATTATTTCTATATTATAAGTTTGCCTTTCACATATATAGCAATATAAAAAGGATTATTAACTTAAATCCTATATTGCAAACACTGATCCATACTGTGAAAGTAATTACATTACAGCAGTTAAATATATATGGGCATAGAGCTGTTCCTACCACAGTCAATAGCAATTTAGCCATTAACTTAAATGAAAGCAAGATTAGGCCTGTATTCTGAAAAAGGTAAAATGCATTTTTATAGCTACAGTTAAAGACAATGTCAAAAATAAATATAATGTATCAAATCATTCATTGTGTACAATTAACACTGGTATTTAAAAGAAAAGAAAACAAAAAAGCATTAAAATTAAAGGCATTTATACAATCAGTCAGAATATTCAGAACATCTGGACCAGGTAATAATTGTTTCTGATTGGATTTAAATTTCAACTTGGATTTAAGACCACATACTGATTAGCAGGGATTCCATCAAATCTCAGAGACACCAGAACTCTGACTAGGTGCTGGGGACTTACGCCTATGAGCTCCCCATGTGCAATGACCTTGATGTGGTGGATGGGCTCTGAAAATACCAGCTGGCATTATCCAGAGCTCCCTTTCTACATAAACTAGATTACTCAATAGTTCTCATTCAGAAGAAATTACACTGCATCCTTTCCATTTTTAGAACATCTTGGGCTGAAAGGTCTCAACTTAGAAATTAAAATCTGTAGTGACTGGCTCAACACATAAAGTAATCCCGGGTGGAAGATCCCTTTCCCCTTGCTGTTGAAGCAATACCATCACACACACACACACCCCCCCAAAAAAAAAAAAAAAAAAAAAGAGAGAATGAGAGAGAGGGAGAGAATATGCAAAGTGAACACAAAGAATCCCACAAATATTTGCAGAAGCACTTTCATAGGTCACCTAGAAGTGACATGCAGCAAGCTAAGTGTCTTAAATGAGAGCTAATGGATCTCACAGGTGCATGAAACTCTTGTGTTCAAGATTAAATGGCTTCACCAACATTTGTTAAGGATTTCCAGCTCTGTTTTGCCTTAGTTATTCCATGCAATCAGCTTAAATTGAGCATGTAGTGGGATTTTCTGAGAGATGAAAACGTGGAGTTTGATTTTCACAGGCTATGGCAGAGAAATGAACTTGTGTTTCTCCTAGCTAGCACTCTGACTTCTGTACAGTGTTATACTTTCTGATCACATCAGGGCTTTTGACAATTTGAATATGGATTTCTGGCTCCATCTCTATGTGAAGTAAACCCGTGCAACTTCTCTCTTAAATTATTTGTAACCAGGGACTAAAACCTGTTAGCTTCATCGAGTGGTAGCTGTAGGTCTAAAACAAAGGCCGAGAACTATCAGGAAACATAAACAAGACTTGGCAGAACTGGGAGTTAAATGCTGACTTCCAGCTCTGTGCAGATTCCCAGAGGCTGTTAGGCATTTTGTATTTTTGCAGAACATTGCCTGTCTTTGCAGTGCAGGAGATGAGGCAGTCAATTCAGCCAATATAAAGAAAATCTGGCAAAATTCAGTATACCAAGGAGGAATGAAAATATCAATGTTTTCTGCCCCAAGGAAAAGCTTGAGATTAAATAAGAACCAAACCAACCTTTTCCTGTCTCTGAAACCAAACATTAGCAAGGGTTTTTTTGATGCTTGAAAATACCTCTTTTATTTCTTTCTTATGGACATTGCTGAAGAAATGAGTGGGTGGTGATGTATTCAAAGCATATCTTGTCATGTCTAATTGACTATATAAAGAAATCAAATAGCCCCCTTCTTCAAAAATATATAGCACATTAATAAGAAATTATTATTTTATTGATAGAGCTGACTTTTTATTGGCTAGGAGGAAATAAAACATTATTGAAGCTAATCAGGTCCCAGTTTTTCCAAAATGATATGAAGAACAATTGTCAGTCAGCTGTCTAAAGCATCCATCAATCAATTAGTTTAATAGAAACAATGTCAATAGAATAAAATGTTGTCAGAGAATAAGTCTCATAGTTTGAAAAAACTGTGACTTTATTTTACAACTCTCCACAGTTTTTCTTGGGCTTTTTTAATTTTACAAATGGAGACCATTCTCTTCTGATAAAGTTCTAGCCAATTGACATTATCTATTAATTATTTTTATAACATATTCATTGCAGGATTTATTCAAGTAAGAAGTTATTGTATAATTTCCCTGATGGATGTGCTCATTTCATGAGTATTAGATTAGTGGAGTACACAATTTATATTAACATGCATGTATCATTAAAGAATACATTGTTTTCCAGCTGTCTTAAAACAAAAACAAACCTATGAGATACTGGCTTATTTTTGAGCTTCTACTCATCTGAATAGTTCCTGTTAATAATATTGTTCATGTGGGTTACATAATTTAATCTACACATTTTTTGTGTGTGTGTGTTTATTTTGCTTTGTCTCCTGGAACACAAATACATACACTTTTTTTTTTCTTGAGATTTTTTTTTGAGAAATTTTCTTTCATTTTGTTGTTAACTGTAATCAGAAACAAACAAAAAGGGCAACACTTCTTGTCTAAGGTCAGTTAACATGTCTATGCTATCAAGAACACTCCTGTACTTCTAGGAGAATCGAAAGGAGGATCTAATGATAGGTCTTTCATTCCAAATCCTTTAATGTCAATTAACTCTTCTAACTAACAAAAAGACTGAATATTTTCAGGGTGACAAAAGGGCACCACAGACTTTTGAGATTTCATGCCAAATTAATAGTTTCTATTATTTCCATTGTCCAAGTAGCCTGGAAGCCCCTGTACTCACAGTCATGGGTGTTACTAATTCAACAAGTCCACTGCCCCCATTTGCATCTCCAAGGATTACATTTTCTCATTGTTGCATTAAGACTCATTTATATTTACAACTCTGAAAGATGGGAGGGTTTCAGAAGAACACAAAAAAAGCTCAGTGTTATATTGCTGGGAACCAGATGTTCTTCTAGCTCAAAGCTACAAACCAAAGTGATGAGGAAGGTAGAACTTTCAGTAATCCTGGTCCTCTCCAGATCCACAGTGGGATATGTTGAATTTCATCAGCCTGCTTTAAAATCAAGATGCAAAATGGCTCTGTGACAGGATGATGGACAGCAAGGTTTGTCTCAAAATGGCAGCAGTACATGACCATGGATTTCTTCTACAACAGTTGTGAAGAAATCCTGACTTCCATAGCAAAGATCTATCTTTAGTTTCCAAAACAGGATTTAATACTTAACTTCAAAACTGTGACTGTAAACTCAGCACTCCACAGTCACCTAATCCTAGTGGCACCTTAACCAATTAACTACTTTCTGACCCAAAGAGCTAGGAAGAAGTGGTACAAAGGAGAGCAATGCCTCAATCACCTATGAGGACCTAACTTCTAGGGTCTCATGTCAGGCTTGCTTTGATATTGCATCCTCCATGAAAGCCACTTTTCTTTCTGTACTATTTCACCATTTCCACAGGAAGAGGTAAAAATCAGTGTCAGCAGTCTCAGCCTCAGGAGAAGGTTTCCTACTTCATGGACAAATACTCTGTGGGTTCCAGCACCCACACCTCATGTTTTTCCCATATTCCAGAGGGAAAGCAGTGCTTCATGTCCTGATCAAGCACAGAAGATATGTGGCTTGCTTCACTCAGACAACAGTCCTACCTTTTGGATCCAGGATCTTGCCTGCAACCTTGGTTCAGGCATCTGGACCTTCATTGTGGGTGATATCCAGGTTTGCCTTTACCTGGAGCTTATTATCAATGGAGTGAGGCAGCCCCCATTCCCCTTGCAGGACACTCACCTTCCCCATCTGAAGCACTGAACTCTCTTCAGCCTGGAGAAGAGGAGGCTCAGGGGGGACCTTATTGCTCTCTACAGATACCTTAAAGGAGGCTGTAGTGAGGTGGGGGTTGGCCTGTTCTCCCACGTGCCTGGTGACAGGACGAGGGGGAATGGGCTTAAGTTGTGCCAGGGGAGTTTTAGGTTAGATGTTAGGAAGAACTTCTTTACTGAAAGGGTTGTTAGGCACTGGAACAGGCTGCCCAGGGAAGTGGTGGAGTCACCATCCCTGGAAGTCTTTAAAAGACGTTTAGATGTAGAGCTTAGGGATATGGTTTAGTGGGGACTGTTAGTGTTAGGTCAGAGGTTGGACTCGATGATCTTGAGGTCTCTTCCAACCTAGAAATTCTGTGATTCTGTGATTTTGCACAAATGGTGCCAAATGGTGTGCTTTGGTTTCCAGGCAGGTGGCCAGGCACCTCGAGACCAAACCACATATGTTCTTTAAGAAAATCGTCCTGTTTGGGTAAGCATTTGTAAAGATAAATAAAATTCCTCTGTTATTTTTTAATGACTAAATCTACAATAAGTTTCTGATAGTGGTTGATTTTAGAGGAAGTTTTCAGCAGCTCTCAGGTTAGGACTGCATTTAGAAAGCCAGCTCATGCATATGCAGCTAATAGTAAATAAACAAGTGTCTCTCTAATTAAAGCACATCTAGAGAAGTCTAAACTAATTTAACATCTAAATGACTGATTATAAAGGGGTGAGGGAAACCCAGAAATATTAGCCTTTTTAAAAATTCTTTGGCATAAGAACTATAAGATGGAAGGAGATAAGCATTAAAACATCTAGCATTAAAAATAAATAAATAAATAAAACAATATGCTAAGACAAAGTTATGGAAAGAGATAGAAGTCTGTGTGCCCTGAAAGTGAAAAGACATGGCAAAAACGTGCTCAGCCTTCCCAACATGCTATTAACATCTGAGCAAAACACTACTGAAATGTTACAAACTAATTAAATTGAGCATACGAGGGAACCAATGGGAATAAATTATTATGCAAATACAAGGTTTTCACTACAGAAAGCTGCTGCTGGGAGTCAGTGTGGTGTTAAGCAAGGAGCACGGGGCGGAGGGGGGGGGGGGGCAGGCACCCCTGCACCACAGCAGTACGGCCGGCTGGGGATGAACCCCATTGCAGAAAATGGGATAAAATCCCTTGGAAGGAGGGAAGCTAGGGAGGAAAAACGTACCTGGAACTTCCCACAAAGGGAAAAGGAGGCTGGTGCAGACTGCTAAAGAAACAGTGCCATCTGCCGCGTATTCCCTTATGGCAGGAAGCTGATTTTAGCTGCCTCCTGCCCTGCTGACGTGATGGCAACAAATCTGACAAGTCCCCATGGACAGCTGAGATGAGGAGGGCAGGAACCCAGCCTTTGCCCTTCTACCCAAATGTGTTTATAGGTCTGCTAGGGAAAATAAATAAATAAATAAATAAAATCAAAAAAACATTCCTGGAGTTTCCTTACTAAGTTGTTGCCTGTTGAAATAAAGGTTTTCTTTCTCATGGTATAACAGGACCCCATGCTCAGACACTCGGTGAAGGATCAGTCTGCTGTAAAGCAGTCTGTCAGCAAGACATACAGAATGAATGTGTAAACAGGAAAACAGCTGCCACCCAATCTCTTTTTTTGTGCTGGATTCCTGTCACCTTGCAAAAGGGCTCTCTGTTTCTTGTGCAAGTCTGGTGTTGGTTTCAATCCATACTTTTTTGCTCAGTCCCTCTCACAATGTTCATTACATCCCTGAATGCTTTTGTACATTATATTATCTAAAGCAATTACAAAAGTCTAATCAATATTATGAATTTTTATAATGACTTTCATCATTAGCTCTAAATACTCATTTATTTTTGTCAGGATTAAACCTGACAAAACCCATGAAATACAGGTGCCACCAGTCTATGCAAAACTCTTGTGGGTTTAAGTCTGTCATTCATAAATCCAAGTTTACACTTCTAATACTTTTAGCCTCTAGACTGAACAGCCTCACTTCTTTAAAGAGTTCCCCGGAACATATCCAGGACAGAACAGGAATAGAGTTTTGATAAGGTGATTCCCTGTCCTATGACCTCCCTCCAGATGTTCAAATTACTCCTTAAGAACAATTTGCAGGATGGGTAGTCTAACATAATTAGTTCAGGCAGTGTTATATTAAATAGGTCCCATTCAAAATAAAAATAATAATAAAAAAAATCTTCATACCAGGAAAAAGGTCTTTGAAAATGGGGAAGTGCTATTCCTGACACAGTCCAGCACTGACTCATTTTCCTCATTAGGCTATCACTCAGGCACCTATTCTTTTTGCACATGTGTTGCAGAATCCCTAGGATTTGTCTGCTGTGGGTGTCAAACTTCAGTTTTCTCTTAATTTACAGACTTCCAAGCTGTCCTCTATGTCCCTGGCTACTGTTCCCAGACTCATTAACGACACTGGAGGCGAGGCTTTTGGAACTAGGCAGTGTGGGATTCTGAGGCAACAGATGCTCCGAGATAACTCAGAGATGCTTCATGCTGTAGACCTGATCTTTGCAATCAAGGGTCTAAATTTGAATTTCAGAAAGAAATAAAACTTTTGGTGAAGTTTTAGTGATGTAGAGAGCTAAACTCCAAAAACTGAACTCAGTTCATGCATGGGTTCACAACCTGAATCCTGCTCTCTCTAGGTAATGAATGAATTCACACGCCGTCACTAAAATACCTGAATCACAGGTGCCTTAGCACACAGGGCCCTGTAGGCTGTATCAACAATGTATTTCCTGTGACTTTCTTTTGAATAGGAATTTCTCTGTCTTCTTTCTTTTGGCTTCTTTGAACTTTATATTATGATTTTAGATTGGAATAGCTATAAGATCTGGAGGCTTCATGTTAATAACTAACTTCAGTATCTAACTCCTATATTTTAAGATATACAGCTCTGACAAAGGAGATACTGTTGGTAGCAGCTACCTTAGGAGATTTGAGATATATTATATATCAAAATAAAATATTCCATCTACTGCTCAAGATATTGGTCTGTGGGAGTTTGTGAGAGTCAACTCAGAGTTGACTGAGACTCCAAATTTACATAGAAGAGAGACATGTGCTTGGAGATAAGCGCTACAGAATCATAGAACTGTAGAATCACAGAATGGCTTGGGTTGGAAAGGACCTTACAGTTAATTTAGTTCTATCCTCCCTGCCATGGGCAGGGACATCTCCTAGTAGACCAGGTTGCCCAAAGCCCCATCCAGCCTGGCCCTGAGCACCTCCAGGGGTGGGGCATCCACAGCTTCTCTGGGCAACCGCCTCACCACCCTCTGAGTGAAGAATTTCTTCCTAACCTCTACTCTAAATCTCCCTTATTTTAGTTTAAAATTGTTCTCCCTTGTCCTATCTGCCCATGTGAAAAGTTTTTCTCCATCTTTTTTATAAGAGGTCTCCCCAGAACCTTCTCTTCTGCAGAATGAACATCCCCAGCTCTCTTAGCCAGCATATCTTCATAGGAGAGGTGCTCCAGCCCTCTGAGCATCTTTGTGGTCCTCCTCTGGACCTGCTCTAACAGCCCCACATCCTTCTTATGCTGGGGGCCCCAGACCTGGATGCAGGACTCAAAGTAGGGCTTCACAAGAACAGAGCAGAGGGGCACAGTTACCTCCCTTGCCCTTCTGGCTGCTCCTCTGTGGATGCAGCCCAGGATGCAGTTGGCCTTCTGGGCTGCAAGCACACACTGCTGGCTCTTGTTGAGCTTTTTGTCCACCAAAATCCTCAAACCCTTCTCTGCAGGGCTGTTCTTAATGAGCTCTTCTCCCAGTCTGTGCTCATGCCTGGGACTGCATCAGCCCAGGTGCAGCACCTTGCTCTTGGCCTTGTTGAACCTCATTAGGTTTACGTGGGCCCAATTCTCCAGCCTGTCCAGGTCCCTTTGGATGGCATCCCTTCCTTCTGGTGTATCAACTGGACCACTCAGCTTGTTGTCATCTGCAAACTTGCTGCGGGTGCACTTGATCCCACTCTCTGTGTCATTGATAAAGACATTAAATGGCACCGGTCCCAAGGCAGACCCCTGAGGGACACCACTTGTCACTGTCCTCCATCTGAACATAGAACCATTGACCACAACTCTCTGGCTGTGCCCATCAAACCAAATCCTTATCCACCAGATGGTTCACCCTTCAAATCCAAATCTCTCTAATTTAGAGATAAGGATGTCACATGGGACCATGTCAAAGACCTTACAGAAGTCCAGGTAGATGGAATTGGTCTGCTTTCCCTTGTCAACTCCATTATAGAAGGCCACCGGATTGGTCAGGAAGAGTTTGCCCTTGGTGAAGCCATGCTGGGTGTCTCAGATCACCTCTTGGTTCTGCATGTGCATTGACATTGCTTCCAGGAGGATCTGTTCCATGATCTTCCCAGGCACAGAGGTGAGGCTCACCGTTCTGTAGTTCCCCAGGTCCTCCTTTCTACCCTTTATAAAAATGGGAGTGACGTTTCCCTTCTTCCAGTCACCAAGGACTTCATCTGACTGCTAGGACTTTTCAAATATGATAGAGAGGGATTTGGCAACTCCATCAGGCAGTTCCCTCAGAATCCTGCGATGCATGTCATTGGGCCTCACAGACTTGTAGCTGTTTAGTTTCATCAGGTGGTCTCAAACCTGCTCTTCACTTACAGTGGGAGGGACTTTGCTCCTCCAGCCTCTATCTATGGTTTCAGGGAAAGGAAAGACTTGGGAAGCCTGACTGGCAGTGAAGACTGAGGCAAAGAAATTGTTGAGTATCTTAGCCTTTTCCATGTATGTCATTACCAGTTCACCCTTCTCCTGTATCAGAGGGAGTACACTCTCCCTGGCCTTTCTTTTCTGAGCAATGTACCTATAGCATCCCTTCTTGGTACTCTTTGCATCCCTTGCCAAGCTCAGTTCCATCCATGCCTTGGATTTCCTGACCCTATCCCTGCATATCCAGACAGCATCCCTAAACAATTCCCAGGCCACATGTCCCTACTTCCACTTCCTGTGCATTTCCTTCTTACACCTCAGTGTGACCAGCAGATCCTTGCTCAGCTACCCCAATTTCCTGCTTTTCCTGCTTGATTTCTTACATATGGGGGTGCAGAGCTCTTGTTCTCTAAGAAAAGTGTTGCTAGGTCTGATTAGTTCCTCTGTCCCGAAGGACAGCTTCTTGGGAGATCTCATCCACTAGTTCTTTAAGCAGCTGGAATCTTGCTCTCCTAAAGTTCAGGGTCCTGACTTTGCTCTTTGCCAGGCCTATATTCCTCAAGATCACAGCCTCAACCAGGGCATGGTCACTGCAGCCCAGACCGTCTCCAATCTTAACCTCTTTAATGAACTCATCCATTTTGGTGAGCACCAGGCCATTAACACTTCTCCTCTCATTGTTTTGTCCAATACCTGGGTCGCAAAGTTTTCCTTGATGTACTCCAGGAGTCTCCTGGGTTGATTACAGCCTGCTGTGTAGCATGTCTGCCCCAGCAGACATTTGGGTGGTTCAAGTCCCCCATTGGGATGAGAGCCTGTGAGTGTGATGCTTCTTGCAGCTGAAGCAGGAAAGCCTTGTCAGCAGGTTCCCCTTGATCAGGTGGCCTGTAACAAACCCCAACCACAAGGTGTCCTTTATTGGTCTGCTCCTTAATTTTTATCCACAAGCTCTCAACCTGCTTATGGCTGTTTCTCACAGGCAGCTCTTCACTGTCTATCCATTTCTTAACACAGAAGGAAATATCCCTGACTCTGCTCCCCTGCCTATCTCTCCTGAAAAGCCTGTAGCCCTCAATTGCAGTTTTCCAGTTGTGTGATTCATCAAAACACATTTCCTTGATGATAATCGGGTCATAGTTTTCTAATTGCACTGTGCTTGTTTCCCCATGTTGCATACATTGAGCAGAGAAACTTCATCTGGGCTATCAGCTGCATCACCTTTTTAGAGGAACCCTCCTAGATTCCTTTGGGATAATTTTGTTGATCTGATTCTCATTGCAAATCAAATTTAGTCATTCTGTAATTTGATCTAAAGCATTTAAGTTAGTTAGTGAGACCTTCAAAAATGGAGAGTGGAGTCTTTGTTCTTTAAAAATAGATACGAGATTAACTGTTAAAAATAAGAGATATGCATTTTGTGCATATTTAGACAACAGATACTTATAATCAAAGAGTGATAACAAGTTCCCATTGTTTGGCTATGGGCCTCTGCTGGCTGAGGTCCCACAGTGGGAATTTTTGAGAGAGTTCTTTGTACTCATGAGCTTAATCAAAAACAAGACTCAGTTCTGTATTTTCCTCCACAAAGTCAATGGACTAAACTCATCAAAGTCATAGGGTTAAATTT